ACCAGGATGGGTCAGTGGGACACCAGGATGGGTCAATGGGACACCAGGATGGGTCACTGGGAGACTGGGATGGGTCCCTGGACTTCGGGATGGGCCACTGGGATACCGGGGTGGTCCCCTGTGGTGCCTCGGGACAACGCTGAGCTGATTTTTCCCTGTTTTCCTGCAGAAGCCAAGCCGGCTCCGGCGGAATTGGAGCACGACGTGCTGGACATGCTGCGGGAATTCGCCAAGAACAGGAACAGGGAGCAGCGGCTGCGGCAGCCGGACCTGGAATACCTGTTCGAGCCCCCACAGTGACCCCTCCCTGCCCCTTCCCTGGAGCAGCGCAGGGACACGGGGATCTGTGGAATCGCTGCCACCTTTCCTGTGGTTCTCCTCCTCCTCCGGCAGCCTCTGGACACTGTGGAATGCTGGAATGCTGAATAAAGCCGGGGCTGCTGGCCCTGCTTCCCTACATTGTGACCTCGGGGTCCGGTCCTTGGGGACATTCCCACCTCGCTCTGGCACGTCCCATCTCACTGATATCCCTAATTCCCACCTGCCCCCTTTTCCCCGGCTCCCAGGGAGGTGGCCCCACACCCGGAAGGGCTGTACCCCCCTCCCGAAGCGCTCCCAGCTCCGCATTCCCGGTGCTCTGGGACTCCCCGGAGTCCCGTTGTCGCGGTTGCCGGGAGACCGAGTCACATTCCGCGGCAACATTCCACACCCTCTCGGCCGGCCGGGAAGGCCGGGAGCCGCTGCCAGCACCTCCAGCCATGGCGTAGGGCCCCTCGCTGGGGTTATCCCGGTGCCAGGATGCCTTCCCTGCCGCAGGATTCCCCCGCCGGGGGCTTGGGCACGGGATTCCCGCTGGTGAGGGTGCACGGCGGGGACCGCTCCGACCTGCTGAGCTTCTACGTCACCACCTACGAGGTGTCCTTTGGGAAGAGACCCCCGGGATTGTCCCACAAGTTCGAGGGGCGTGTTCTGGGAGTCAAACCCCCCGACCAGGCGTCCGTGCACCCGCTCCTGGGGGTCCATTCCGGATCCGGATACGTCACCAACAACTACTCGGCCCTGTCGTCCCTGATCACCCCGCGCTCCGAGTGGTAGGTCCCTGCTCCGGGACGAGTCTGGGGGGGGAAATGTTGGGATCTCTCCGTCACGGCCGTTCCCGCCGCAGCCCGGACCCCTTCGTGTCCATCTCCGCCACCTCCGAGGATTTCAGGCCCTTCGGGCGCCCGCAGTTCCAGAGGATCCTGCCCCAGTGCGTGGATGAGCCGGAGTGTTCCTATCCCCCGGAGTTTTCCCTGTCCCGGATCCGTTATGAGGGGCTGAAGCCTCCCCAGTTATCCAGGGGATCCAGCGCCAAGAGCGGCTGCACCAGTCCTGCCCAGCCAGGTATGGATTTGGGATGGGGGGGATCCAGGGAAAGCTCCCTGGGAGGGTTTGGGGTGTTGGGACCCCAGGGAAAGCTCTGTTCCCAGGAAGATTTTGGGGTCCTAGGGAAAGCTCCATCCACAGGAAGATTTTGGGGTGTTGGGATCCTGGGGAAAGCTCTATCCACACCAGAGTTTGGGGTCCTGGTGGTTCCAGGCCCAGCTCCATCCCCAGGAGGGTTTGGCATATTGGGATCCCAGGGAAAGCTTCATCTCTGGAAGATTTTGGGATCCCCAGGGAAAGCTTCACCCCTGGGAAGATTTTGAGATCCCCGGGAAGATTTTGGGGTCCTAGGGAAAGCTCCATCCACAGGAAGATTTTGGGGTGTTGGGATCCTGGGGAAAGCTCTACCCACACCAGAGTTTGGGGTCCTGGTGGTTCCAGGCCCGGCTCCATCCCCAGGAGGGTTTGGCATATTGGGATCCCAGGGAAAGCTTCATCCCTGGGAAGATTTTGGGGTCCTAGGGAAAGGTCCATTTCCAAGATTTTGGGGTGTTGGGATCCCAGGGAGAGCTCTATCCACACCAGAGTTTGGGGTCCTGGTGGTTCCAGGCCTGGCTCCATCCCCAGGAGGGTTTGGCATATTGGGATCCCAGGGAAAGCTTCATCCCCAGGAAGATTTAGGGATCCCCAGGGAAAGCTCCATTCCCAAGAAGATTTTGGGGTGTTGGGATGCTGGGAAAAGCTCCATCCCCAGGAGGGTTTCCTGTCCTGGTGGTTCCAGGCCCAGCTCCATCCCCAGGAGGGTTTGGCATATTGGGATTCCAGGGAAAGCTTCATCCCCGGGAAGATTTTGAGATCCCCGGGAAGATTTTGGGGTCCTAGGGAAAGCTCCATCCACAGGAAGATTTTGGGGTGTTGGGATCCTGGGGAAAGCTCTACCCACACCAGAGTTTGGGGTCCTGGTGGTTCCAGGCCCGGCTCCATCCCCAGGAGGGTTTGGGATACTGGTGGTTCCAGGCCCAGCTCCATCCCCAGGAAGGGTTTGGGATATTGATGGTTCCAGGCCCGGCTCCATCCCCAGGAGGGTTTGGGATACTGGTGGTTCCAGGCCCAGCTCCGTCCCCAGGAGGTTTCAGGGATGGTGGTGGTCCTGGGGGCAACTCCAACTCCGGGGATTTTGGCTCTGTCAGTCCCTGGAAGCAAATCTGAGGTTCTGGGACTGTTGGAGCCCCCCTGCCCTGCGTCCCCCACCCCAAACACGGGGGTACAGGCATATCCAGGTGATCACAGGGCTGGGAACGGTGCTGGGAGCAGTGGGAACACGCCTGCTCCCTGTGCTCCCACAGATCTCCCCCAGTGGAAGCCGGATCCGTCGTCAGGCTGCCCCCCGAGGGACGCGTGCCGCCTCCCTCCGGAGCCCGGCGTTCCCGCCCTGGATCCCTGCTGCCCCCAGAACCGCCACGTGAGCGAGGGCAGGGGGTGGCGAGACCCCCGTGGGGAGGGGACGCTGTATCCCGGTGCTCCCGGTCGGGAGGCTGCGGGGTGAGCGGGATCCCGTCCCCGCGTCCGTGCCCCCTCCTCATCCCGCCGTTCCCGCGCAGGGTTTGCCCGCCATGGGCCACCGCCCCCCGTTCGCCCCCCTGGAACTCCGAGTGGGACCACAGGGATCCGGCGAGAAGGTGGGTGTGGGGATGCCGCCCGTCCCAAACCCCTTTCCCGCGGGATCAGGCGCCCAACCCGCCTCCATCCATCCGTCCGTCCCGCAGGATCCGCAGGGATACTCCACGATCCACAACCAGCACCTGACCAACCTCTCACCCCTGGCTCCCGTCGCTCCAGGTGAGTTTGGGGTGGGATTGCAGCCCCCCCCACCCGGGGAGGGGGGAATTCCGCCCTCACCGGCGCTTCCCTCCTGGATTTCCCAGCCTGGTGGTCGCAGGGCCCCACCTGGGCTCCCAGATCCGTGGAGGGTGTCCAGGTCCCGCGTCCCAGCGGATTCAGCACCAACAACCTCCCCACCAACCTGTGGCACAACGACGACCCCTTCATGTGACCCTCAAAATCCCGGGAGTCCCAGCCTCCGCTTTTTTGGGAAGCTCCCAAATCCCCGTGAGAGCAATAAAGACCCTGCGCACGATCCCAGTCGTCGTCCCCCCCCCACCTCGTTTTTGGGGGGTTTCTTGCGTCCCAAATCCTTCCGGGAAGGAGGACTGGAGGGGTCAGGGGGTGTCACTTGTCCTGCGGCCACCGGAGGGCGGTGCGAGCCCGTTTTTCCGAGCTGGATTTGGGATGACACAGCTGATTTGCGGCAGGGAAATCCAGGCAGGGCTGGGTGGGAAGCGGGAGGATGAGGAGGAGGAAGGACCCCGTAGGGTGGGCACGGGGGGCGCTCGGGGGGGGCTTTGTCCATGTCCTCCCTGGCCACGGGGCAGTGGAAGGGCACTGGGAAGGGGGTCTGTGCTCCCAGGGGCGGCTCCCTAGGATGTGGGGGGTCACAGAGGGACCCTCACCCAGTTTAGGACCTCACATCCAGTTTAGGGCCTCATACCCAGTTTAGGGCCCCAGGTCAGGACCTCCCCACTCGGTTTAGGGATCCTGACCCAGCTCACAGACACACACACCACCCCCCCCCCAGTTTAGGGCCACACACCCAGTTTAGGGCCCCAGTTCAGGGACCGACCCCACCCAGTTCAGGGCCCCACGCCCAGTTTAGGGCCCCAGTTGAGGGTGGGGATGCTGACCCCAGGCTGCCGGGCAGGGTCCGGGAATGGGGCGCGAGGAGGTCCCGCCTTGTTTGGGGACAGGGCGCGGCCGGGTGGGGCACGGGGAGCTCATGAATGGGGCGCGGGGGGGGGGCGTGGGAACGGCGGGGCGGGGCGGGAATGGGGACGGGGGCGTGGCCTCGTGGTGGGCGCGGCCTCCTCTCCGGCAGCGCGGCCTCCCATTGGCCGCTGGCGTTGCCATGGCCACGGCGTCGCCCCGCCCACGTCCCGCTCCCGGGGCCGCTCCCGGTGCCGCTCCCGGGGCCTCTCCCGGCGCTCCGCGATGGGAAGCGGCGGCTCCTCCGGGCGCGGGGTCCCCGTGGCGGCCGCCGAGGGCCCCGACGGCACCGAGCAGCGGCTGGAGGTGCGGGCCCGGCAGGTGCCGGCCGCGCTGTGGGCCGAGCCGGGGCTGCGGAAGCTCTACCTGAGCGACGCCGGGCTGCGGGAGATCCCGGAGGAGCTCGGGGAGCTGCGGCACCTCCGCACCCTCGCCCTGGACGGCAACGAGCTGATGGAGGTGCCCGAGGCCGTGTGCGACCTGCCCCGCCTGGCTCACCTGTACCTGGGCCGCAACGGGCTCCAGGGGCTGCCTCCCGCCTTCTCCCAGCTCCAGAGCCTGCGCTGCCTCTGGATTGAGGGGAATTTCCTAGCGCACTTCCCCCGCGCCCTCCTGCACCTTCCCGAGCTCCGCAGCCTCCAGCTGGGGGACAACCGGCTGTCCCAGCTCCCCGCGGGGCTGCCCCGCATGGCGGGACTGCGCGGGCTCTGGCTCTACGGGAACCGCTTCCAGGAGTTCCCGCCCGTGCTGCTGCGCATGGAGGGCATCCGCGTCCTCGACCTGGATCGCAACCGCGTCTCCCGCTTCCCGGACCTCACCGGCCTGCCCGCCCTGCGCCTCTTCTCCTACGACCACAACCCCGCCCGGCAGCCGCCGCCGGTCGGGGATGAGGTCCGGCTGGTGGGGGACGGGGCGCAGGAATACATGGAAGCGCGGCAGGAGCGGCTGCGGAGCCTCCAGAGCCCTCAGGAGGAGGGGGAGGAGGAAGGAGCCGAGGCCGCTCCGGTGCCCGCCGAGGATGGGCCGCAGGACGGGGAGGGGGAATTTGAGGCCCTGACGGGCTCCCGGGAGGAAACGTGAAGGATTCGGGGCCTCCACCTGCCTCCCAAGGAATTCCCAACTCGTGCTGGGAAAGCAGGAGGTCACAGCCTCCACGTGGAAAACCGACAGTCCGAGGATCGGGATCTCCCAGCTGGGACAGTGAGGAGCTGCCTCCTGGATCTGCAGGGCTCACGGATCCCTGTCGGCATCCACGAGCCCACCCGGGAGCATCCCAAGGTGTCTTGGATTTGGGATACAGCCCCCTGCCCTGAGGGGTGACCCGCCAGACCCTCGTGCCCAGTCCCAGTGTCCCCACGAGCACGGGGACATTCCTGCCCGGCCACTTCCGAAAATCCTTTACTCCCGTCTCCGTGGGCAGCACAGGGAAAAGCAGTGCCGGTTGTATCCATTCCACATGGATCCTGGCATCCTGAAGAGCTGCAGGGTTTGGGAATGAAGGCACAGACCCCTTCTCACCCCCAAAATCCCCATCCTGCTGCTGGAATTGGGCTGGGGAAGAGAATTTCCCACCGGGCTCCTCCTCGCCCTCAGGTTTGGGAAGGAGCTGATGGAAATTCCACCTGCCTGCCTCCAACCTGGAAAGGGCTTTCCCTCCATGGCAAGAGGAGACTTTCCAAAACAGGCACCAAATCCAGGGCTCTGCTGCCTTTTCCTCCCTCTTCCTGTCTCCAAGTGCCTCTTGGACCAAACTCAAGCAATAAAGAGCACAATTCCAAGGAAACCTGGTGAGAGGGGAAGGTGACGGGGAGCAGCCTCAGGAAAGGTTTGTCTGGGATCCGAACACGGCAACACATCCCAGTGCTCCTGTTATTTTTGACGTTGGAGGAGTCCCGTTTCCCTCCACCTGTCTCCAAGCCGTTCCGGTGTGGTGGGAAGCTCATGGATCCGAGGTCTGGAAGTTGCCGGAGGTTTCCGACCGCGCAGCCGCTTTTAATCCCGAGGGGTTTGGGTTTGGGGGCTGGGAAGCAGCCAGAGCTCCTGCCACATCCTCTCTGGAGCTGGCAGCGCCGGATTCCCCCCCCTTTCCCACTCCACAGTGGCTATTTTGGACACGTGGAGCATCCTCAGCTGCGGGATGTGCAGGAGCTGTCCGTGCCACCCCTTCCAGCAGCGCAGCCTGAGGATGCTCCTGCCTTTCCAGCAGTAATTCCAGGGATTTAGGGCTTGGCAGGAGCTCGTCTTGCTCTTCCCTCTTGGATTCAGGTCTTCCCGACAGGTCCAGGCTGTCAATCCCTCTTCCCACCCACTGTGGGACTGGGGAGCAGAGTACCCTCCGAATCCCACGAATTCCCAGGAACGCAGTCCTGGAATGCTGGGTGGCTCCCAGCCCCTCGTGCCATCAATGTGGGGGTGCTGCTGCTTTTCCTGGGAAGACACTGCTGCTCACTAGCAGGAATTATCCATCCCCCGGGGGGCAGAGACCCTCAGAATTCCAAGCCCCGGCTCTAAGCGAGATCCAAAGCCACCAGCTCCATGTAAACCCCCGCCAGCCCATCCATGCCTGGCAGGAATTGGGATGCAGGTGGCTCTCGATGCCACCCCCCCGTCCTTATGGCCGGGATCAAATCCAGGAGCTCCTACACTTGGGAAAGGGGGGATCCTGCCTCCCTGGGGTCTTTTCCCACCACCCCGTTTTTTCCAACCCTGTTTCCCACACCCTGGCTGGGGAAGGAGCTGGATCCTGTGACGATCATGGTGACACCGGGACCAGGAGCTGCCGCAGCCAGTGGGAATCTGACAGATTCCTGCTCCGCTCAGGTATTTTGGGAATGTTGGCACCGGCGAGCCCCGGCTCCTGGGAATGCATCATCCATACGTCTGTCCCTATATATATCCCTGCCTCCTCTGCCGGCCCGGCGTGTGCCGGCTTGTGGCCTCTCCGCAGCCGGGATCATGCTGCTATTCCCATCTGCTCCCGCTGGCTGCCAGCACAAAGGAGCGGGATCGGGAATTGCGGCGGCTCCGAGCAACAGGAGCGCCGGGATTGCTGCGCTTTTTGCCGCGTTCAAAGGTTTCGGGTGAAAAAAGAAACCTGGTGCCGGTGTGGGAGCCCAGGCAGAGCCAGGCCACCAGAAACTTAGGAATGCTGAAATGCTGGAATGCGAGTTTGGCTCGGCTGGAACCAGAGCCGGAGTGGGAGCAGCCACCTCCCCTCCACCCGGCTGTGGGCGGCCCCCGGACTGTCCTGTCCCCTGCATCCCAGGGCCCGAAAGGTGCATCCAGAGGGATTTCATCCAGGATATGGAGGACACGGCTCTCCTGCCATCCCAGAGTTTGGAATTTCTTTTATTTATTCAAGAGCGGCGTTCGCTGAATTATTCATTGGTCACCGGAGCCTTTGCGGTGGCTCCCGGACACATTCCCTGTGGCACCACCCGGGATAAGGTTTCCTGCCTCTTCCCAGCCTCCAGGGTCACATTCCAGTCCCTACCCAGCACTTCCAGCCCCAAGGAATCCGTCCCAGGCCTGGATGGAATGGGAAGTCTCCCCTCCAGTTGTCACCTGACTGGGGGTGTCACCGTTGTCCCCGAAGCCCCCCGGGGGATCCCAATCCCAGCAGGAACCTCCCACACCCAGCCACCCCTCCTTAGAACTTCTTCCCAGGGCTGCTCTTAGTGAACCCTCATTAACTGCCCTGGGAAGCCCCAGGATTTGCCAGAGGCATCCTGGAAACCCCGGGATGCTGAGGGATAGGGGCTGTCCTTGTCCCTTTTGCAAGGACACTTTGGAGGGGGTTCCTTGTTTTCTTTGCCCCCCCAAAATGTGTCCCTTTCACCAGAAGGTCCCCCAGCATGGCCTGTCCCAACCTTGGGAATGTGGAGAGGAATAATCAGTGAGTGGGGAGTGGTAGTCAGTGTTTACAGGGGGATACTCAGGGAATTGGGGGGATGCTCAGGGCTTGGAGGGGGATATCAGTGTTTTGGGGGGATACCCAGTGTTTGAGGGGAATACTCAATGCTGGGAGGGGATGCTCCATGTTGAGGGGGATACTCAGGGCTTGGGGAGGATACTCAGGGAGTGGGGGGGGTGCTCAGGGAATAGGGGGATGCTCAGAAATAGGGGGATTCTCGGGGAATAGGGGGATGCTCAGTGCTAGGGGGATCCTCAGGGAATAGGGGGATTCTCAGGGAATAGGGGGATGCTCAGTGCTGGAGGGATTCTCAGGGAATAGGGGGATGCTCCGGGAATAGGGGGATGCTCAGGGAATAGGGGGATGCTCAGTGTTGAGGGGATGTCCAGTGCTGGGGGGATGCT